GTAGTTAGAAAATACAGCATCTGACCTAAACATTCATCATCGAGGGAGCTAAACTACCCGATACAGTCCTACACCCAGCGCGTGCCATTCATCGTTAGGACAGGTTACGTTGTAAAACGTCTGCATTGCCGAGAGGGATGTGTCAACACCTCAGCAAATTTTGCCCTCAAGAAAACACTCATCCCCGGGGACGACCCCAGGCCTAGGCACCTGGAAGCGCATTAGAATCTCCTGGAGAGCTTTGTGACGATCCCAGCACAGACCCCACGAGAACTGCTGGGCCCTACCCCAGGCCCTGGCGGGCACATGCCGCCAAGGTTGAGACACTCTGGGAGGTGGTTAGAGATCTGCCCTTCGCTTCCTTTGAGTTCCGTATCTTTGGGGTTATTTTATAGTTCAGTTCACTCCTCCAAGTGACCTTTATGAACTTTCCTTTGAGGGGAATTTTGTTTTCTTTGTTTTGCAGTATTTCCCCAAGCCTCCTGGACCATTCCGATCAGGTTACATGACAAATGAAAGATTTACGGCTGTGTCTTCTGTAGGAACAGAGTTTATTCCAAAGGCCTTGTGTAGTCCCTCCAGGGAAAATGGATATCCCCTATGCAGTTTCTCTCTGGCTAAACTGCTCCGTCAGCAGTAGTCAAACACAGTACCCCCCCCCCCTTCTTTCTGTCCCCAGCACATGCACACACAATGCTCAGCAAATTTTAGTTTGAGTTTTAGCCATTAGACTTATGAGAAGTTTACATCTCTCCCTAGTTAGGAAAACAGAACAGAAGCACCACCCATCGGGATAATTGCAACAGAGCTCCCTCTCCCAACCCAGCCCTCCATCTAGAATTGCTCGTACCAAAGTAGATCAAAGTAGACTCTTTTGCTTTTCACTGTCAGCAACTGGTTACTTTTTCTTCTGTGCTCTGAAGGCGGCCTGGCTCAGGAGGACCTGTGTTAAGAACATTCACTGATAACCAGGTTGTTGACTCCGTGCAGTGACGTCGGCCTGACAGCTACAGTGTTCTCAGAGGACACGATCCAGTGTGGACTCGCCCAGTGACAGTCCGAGGAGCACTTAGATGCGCCACACCGAACGACAGGGAGGGACCTTTGCCCAGACTAAATACGAAATCAGTCCTTGTTTTATTCCAACCCATGTCAAATGAAATCAATCCCCATGTCGCCGTTGGTGGAGGGACCCTCTTGGTGGAAGTGTCCCCCCACCCCTCAAATCTCATTTTGAAAAATGATCCCTGGATCCTTCCCTTTGCCCCTTGGAAGTCACATTCATAGGCTACCTACCACGGGAGCTGGGACAGAATGCAGACCAGAGTAAAGAAGGCCTTTACTTACATTTTGTTACTACTGCCAGCTTACCCAAACACGCAGATTGTTTATGCTTCATGTAGTATGTGCTCCTGGATATTGGTCCCAGTCCTCATGGACGAAGGCACCTTGATGTGTGAATTCTGATTCTGCCACCTACTTGTGAATGATGCCTTCGGGTTGGACATTTCACCTCTGGGATTCTCGTTGTCTTCCTTTGGAAAATCGGAATCTTCTTCATAGAGCTGACGGAATTATTGCACTAGATCAGCTGTTTTCAAACTTTTTGGTCCTAAACCCCTCAATTGAGGATGTCCAAGAGCTTTAGTTCACATGGGTTATATTTATCAGTGTTTACCATATTGGAAATGAAAACCAAGAAAATCTTAATCTATTCGTTTAGATGACAACCAATACTGTTAACATTATTATTTTTTTTAAATGAGAACTATTTTCCAAGACAGGAGAATTAGTGAGAATAGTGGTATTGTTTTATAGTTCTGCAGATATCTTCAATGTCTGGATTTCCAGAAGACAGCGGGATTCACAAATATGCTTCTGAATTCAGTCTCTAGGGTATTATGTAGTTTGGGCTGAGGTACAAGGAGAAAAGCCAGCCTCAATGAGATATGTAGTTTGAAAGGAAGGGGTATTTTGACTGCCTTATCGGTTAATTGTGGATATTCTTGGACTCAACACTAACACTCGGTAAGCAGCGTTGTCTTACAGGTTAACGGCAATGGGCAGTCTGAACCCCCACCTGTGAACTTTATGTGCTCCATTACATTACAATCCCTTGGTCTGTCTTTACTTTGAATGTCCTTTAGCCATGCATAATTTTTAAAACATCATACACTCGTTAATAGAAAATATTGGTTCACTGAATTAGACTTTCTAAAAGTTGACTCATTTCATAAAACCATATCAAACCAATTACATTCATTAATCTCATCAGGTGAGAGACTGTCAGGCTCAGGATGGCAGATAGATGTTTTCCAAAATTCTAGTTTTTGCTTGAAAGGCCTGTTTTTAGCATTGGCAACAAATATTGCCAATCGTTTTCATCAAAGTGATAGGCTCACTTCATTCATTTCAATTGCATATCTGCCAGGTACTTAAGGTTGAGTATCTGCAGTTTGTCGAAAGTTGTTCTTTCAAGTTACGAGTGGTATTGGAATAAAAAGGGCTGGTTCCATTTACAACTCCAGGGATCCCGGAGCTTTTCCTTGAGGCGGCCGTCCCTACGTCAGTGCGTGCAGAAATATGCATTCTCACGTCGTCACAAAAGTACATACCAAAGAGTCCAGATTTATTTTCATTTTCATTTTTTGTTAATCTTCACTTGAATATATTTTTTCCATTGATTTTCTAGAAAGAGTGGAAGGGAAGGTGGGAGAGGGGGAGAGAGAGAGAAACATCAATGTGAGAGAGACATCAACTGGTTGCCCCCTGCACGAGCCCCAACCCAGGCCCGGGATCGAACCTGCAACCCTGTGGTGCGTAGGCTGGCACTCTGACCACTGAGCAGCACTGGCCAGGGCGAGAGTTGAGATGTAATAGAATTAACGTTGTCACTGCTTCACCAGGGACATCCTTAAGCGAAACCAACTTTCTCCCCTTTACTCTGAGTGTGTGGAAGTGGAGGGTACAGTGACCACTGCGACAGTTTGGTGCCACTAATATGATTTGTAGTAAGACACTGGGAAGTTTACCCTGCAGGCACCTTTACACCTTGCACCTTCTGCAAGGCCAATGTCAGGCCTGTAGTATATTGAAAATGATTCTGACCTCACCAACTCCCTCGGGACCCTGGCAGTCTACAGACCACAATGTGAGGACTGTTGGGATCCACGACGGAAATGATGTAACATTCTGCCAGCGCTGAAAAGTTAGCGTTTTCATCATTGTTTGTGGCTTGTGGACTTGGTCACTGGCTGGGCTGAGCAGCCTGGCCTTTGGGAGATTTCTGATTTGATGAAATCCCACGGGAGTTCCTCCCTAGCTCACCGGAGCCCAGTTAGCTTTTCTCCTGCTGCTAGGTTGTTAGGTTGAAGCTGAAAACAAGCCTTGTTTCATGTGAACTGCACTNCGGGAGTTCCTCCCTAGCTCACCGGAGCCCAGTTGGCTTTTCTTCTGCTGGGTTGTTAGGTTGAAGCTGAAAACAAGCCTTGTTTCATGTGAACTGCACTCCTGGCCTCTGTGTGGGGAACCCTATGTGGTCCTTGCTTTTTTGGTGTGGTGTGGAGCTCATAAAGATATGTGTGATAATTTCCTAATCTCATATTGGGGTCTTCACTCTGGTTTGAGAGGTGCTTCAGTGGTCCGTGTATGGGCTTTGGGCTCATGAGCCCTTGAAATGTTACAGAATTTTCTGTTATTTTCTGGGGCTGGGGAGAAGGTAGGTTGTTAGGAAGAGTGAATAGTCTCAGTCAGACTCTTAAAGAGATTCTGTGACCTCACCCTCGCAAAAACAAACATTAACAAATGACAGTTTCAAACATTTTTGTGGGGTCGCGCCTGCCTACCCGTGATCCACTTGCGAACACACTTCTTTCTGGAAAGAATGTTGGGAGTCCCCTCCCAGGCTCTGCTCTCCTCTGCTCCCCACCCCCTTGCATTTCTTCCAGCTCCACATCCCTGAGCACTTGCTTGCATGCCACTTCACCGTTGTTCTCGAGGGCACCTGTCCCTTTTCCCTAGTTAGAAAACGCAAGAGAGCAGGGACCGCACATCGCATTTCTCTCGTATCCCAAAATGCAAAGTCAGAGTTTGGCGCCCTTGAGATGCAACCTCGGGGGACACTTCAGGCCGGAGAACACACTCAGCTAAATCCGTGGGTTCCTTTGTGAGCTCTCAAGATGTGCAAACTCGGAACATTTATTATGCCTCAACTGCAAGATGTGCTTTTCTCCCACCCATTCTTCAGATAGCTCCTTGGAATCCAAGCTCTGTCATGAAAACAGGGCAGCCTGTTTCGTTCCAACAGTAGCATTTTTGGGCACACATCCCGGGTCCCGTGGGAGTAGTGTGGTGGCTGCCACCGGCTGCCGAGGAGCAGAGGCGGCTTCTGCAGTGTGATTCACTGCACAGCCTACAATCCCAGCTCCTCAGGCAGGCGCTGCAGAGGGGGTGGCGGTGAGGTGCCGCTCGGTGCAGCAGCCCTGGTGGCAGCGAACACCCCTCGTGGTGTAGGCACTAATGCAGGCCAGAGAGCCAGTTTCAGCGCCGGCCGTGTGTGAGAATTAGTACACTTTACCGAGTGGTCTCATTAAAACAAGGTGGTGGGTCCCCATCTCCAAACAATCTTTAAGAATTCTGCCATGTGTGGTTTAATTCAGTAGCATCATAGTTTTTTTTAAAAAAAGCTTTGGCTCGTCTAACACCACAAACACTCACATGTGGCAGTTGGAAAACTCCCATATCCCCGTTCTTTCTGGGATGCAAATAACCCACAGGCAGTGCTCAGGGAGCACTGACCTAATTAGGAAGAGGCAGGAAAACCGCTGCGTAGCACACTGTCGGGGTGGGTGTATGGACCAATCATATTTTATTCCAGGATATGGCCCCACCTGCTAGGTTGCATTATTTTCAAACTTTGCTCTCTGGACATCTGAATTACTGACACACGCGATTTCATCTCCTGCATCACTGGCATCTCTAAACAATAAAACTTGTCACTCATGTTGCAGCTCTGGCGTACCCCAGTCCTCTGTCTTTATGATGTCAAACCTCCAAAGTGGTTTTATGTCTGTCCCTCTTTAGCAGGTGAGGAAATCAGGACCCAAGAGCCTTTGAGTTGCCCAAACTACTGAGTAATAGTGCAGGTGATGTTAACAGCTGTGGTGTCCCCAGCCAGGTGCACGAGTCAAAGAGCATGTCACTCCCCTCTTTGGAAAATGCCCTTCACGGTGTCAGGGGCGGTCAGTGTCGGAGCCTGTACTGTTGGACTCGCTTGTTCCTCAAGGACTGAACCTGGTCAAAATCTCCTCTGGGAAAATACCACTTACTGGTGGGAGAGTCGGGTAAGGGGGATCTTGGCTTGGCTTCCCAGCCAGATGGCTTTGGTGATTGCATGATAAAATGTGCAGTGTCACGTGTCTGTGCCTCTCGCCACTACAGTGCCCTTTCTGTTTTTAAGGAAAGAAGGATTGTCCAAATGTGGAAGATGCAAGCAGGCATTTTACTGCAATGTGGAGTGTCAGGTAGGTGGTGGGCCAACTGGCAGGGAGGGCCTTGTTTCCTGTGAAAATCGGGACCCCAACACCCTTCTCTTGCTGGTCACGGCTTCCCCAGCACCCTCCTGCAGCCGGAGCTGGAAAGCATCGCTGTAGTATAGGGTGTGCCTGGATACTCTGCTTACTGGCCCAGGACCAGGGCAGTAACATTCGGGAGCCACATACAGGACCAAGGAAAGGGAGCAGGAGGTGAAATGGGGAAGGACACGAGGAGAGCCATGTGGGGCCCAGGCAGGTGGATTACCAAGGCCGACAGTTCGCCCCCAAGGCCACCAGCAGCAGATGGAATGTGCAGAGATGACAGATGAGAAACGTTAAAATGCTGCCTTTAAAATTTTTAAATGTTTACCCTCGTGGATCTGTATTTTTATAAACATCTCCAGCAGGCCACACATCACCCTCAGGCAGTTTGAACCCGGCCCGATTCCAGCTGGATGTAGGTGAGACCTTTGTGCAGGCAGAGGGTGGCTGCTCCGAACTTATACTTGGAGCTGGGGCTGAGTGGGTCCAGTAGGCTGGCCGCCTGTAGACCAAGGTCATCTGGTTTGATGGATAAGTCTCAAGGACTGAAACAGGGGAAGGGGAAGCTTAAGGAGGAGTCTGGAGGAAGTTTCATGGGCTCCTTGAGGGACTAGGAGTGGTGTCTTCCAATCTCTTTCTAGATATCGGGTCCCTCAAATGTTCACAGGTATTCCACAAAAAATGAGTTCCAAGTCCCAACGATCTGAATTGGGGGAGAATATGACCTTTGACCTCTGCATACTCTCACCCAGCCTATTTTTTAAATGGAAACCTAAAAAATGCACCTGCCAGTGTCTTCTTTGCCAGAAAGCTCTCCGAGTGTGCTGGGCACACACTCCCCACCCCCCC